GTGGAAAACTTGAGCTAAATAGGGGTAAATTTTTCGATATAGAACAATCCTAGGCATTAAAATTCCGACTTTACTTATTTTGGACCACCCTAACACACCCTAGTACACATATGCATATCCTATGTAGATATACATGCACAAATGTCTGTGTTTTATGAGGTGATTGTGTTAAGTTAATAACTTTCCAAAAACACATTACATACGGCTCATTATGGCGCGTCCATAATTACTCGTATATTTTTTCGTCTCTACGTGCTTACGTACATACCATATGGAAGTGTGTTTTTTTTTCATATCTGCCCACATTAATTCAATCTGTTACGCGTGTGTTACGAAGAATTCTAATTTATTTTTCCATGTATCTATTTTAGCTGTGGTTCATAAATTTTTTATAACCACTAGGATTTGGTGAAATGGAGTAACAAATTAAGTATTTCGTATAAAATGAATGTTGTACCACGGCACAATAAAATTTGGACGAGCTTGATATTGAAAACTAGACCGACTTTATTTTATAGAGTTGTTGGTGGTGATTTCAAAGCCATTCACACAATTTGTGTAGGGTTGCCACCTGCCTAAAAAAATTATAAGATCCGCACCGGTCGTTAGATTACCAAAAATGAGGTGTCAAATGAAAGATATTGGCCTATAGATAAGCATAAATGTTTTAATATTTTATGTTTTGATTAAGGTTGCCACCTATTAATGAAATTACCATATTCAAACTTAATAAGCGAAGTTATCGGTTCTGCATCGTCACTGTCAAATGAATAGACTTTGCCTCTAGATGTGCAGTAGTGTATTATTTATGAGTAGGATTGCCACCTTTTTAAAAATTATAAGAACTTTACCCTTCGTTGTACTAAACAAGTAATTTCTAAGTAAAAAACAAAACCGACTTCATTTCTCATATATAAATTTAAGAGTACCGTTAATTTATTCATGATCCAATCATCTGAACTAAACCTAATTAGTATGGGACCACCTCTGAGGTACCATCTTTTCTTTAAAAAAAGAATTATAGATATCGGTTGACGTGGTCCAAAGTGAAGCGGTAACATACATTAAAAAAATAAAAATATTCCGACAAATTGATAACCTTCTCCTTTTTTTTAAGTCAGTTAAAAATGAGGTACCAATTGAAAGGTAATGGTGACGACAGTTTTTGGCCTTCAGATATGTAATAAGGTTTCATCTTGTTTTTTTTTTTAATATAGTTGCCGCCTATCTAAACATTATTAGGTCCGTTCGTTGCATTAAAAACATAAGATGTCAAATGAAAGGGCCATTCGGTATGCAATAAGGCTTTATTTTTTTGAATAGGATTTTTATCTGCTTTCTTCAAATGCGTATACATATATAGGGGAGGATTTTACTTCTCGAATCCTTACGCAGTCCAAAGTAAATAGCACTTGTTGGCAAGTGTGATTTTGCGTTTCAAAATAAAGGAATTCAATGACGTGAGAGCCGAAATGCTTATGATCTAACTGTTTGTCTGATGACAGAAGATACTTCGTTTTGGTCTCGTTCACCATCAGACTCACGGGAATTGCTTCTCCATCTAAATTCGGAAAGAAAGAGCAGACGTAGCGCTTAGTTTTACCGATGGTGTCGATGTCGGTATTATCTTCTCCAACATCATATTAAAAAAATTACACGAAAGTGTGTGTGTTGCTTTCAAAGGGCTCGAAGAGGTGGTTGCCAATTCTTGTTATGGTATAGCTCAACGTCATTTAACACAGACGCATTAGTTTTGGGAGATACCAAAATCATACCTCGCGGTGTATAGGCAACTCCTTTTCGTGCTGTCGAAAGCAGCTTCGAAGTCGACAAAGTCCTCTCTGCAACTACACTGAAAAGGCCCAATCAGTTCTCAGTTATGAGAAGTGTATTTTTTACAAAAATATGGAACTAAGACGGTGCTGGAATTAAAAAAAAAAGTAGAATGGATTAATTTTATTACTTCCAAAAGTCAGTAATAATGAACATAGTTGAGTCGGTTATTTAAAAAAAATTACATGCTGTAAATAACATTAATACAAAACTTCCCATAAATCAACAAACTTTGAACGAAGCTTCAATTTTCCAGATACAAACATTATTTAAAGGTTAACAATTAGTTTCTTAATTTTCTGGCAAAATATTTTCCAGCTTAAACCACTACTCGATATAAATGTAAACCCCACCACCAGCAGAAAGCCATAAAAGTACAATAAAAGCTAAGCAACCACTTTTTTCTTTATTAACTTACCGACTCATAGAAGAATTTAGCACAGCTTGCAATAATATTACACTTAAGCCCTTTTTAGCATAAAGCTTAAATTTTCTACAAGCATTTGAAATGAGTTTTTATTACTGCTTAACCACAAGCTTTGGCGCTATAACTTTTTTCCTTTCTAAACCAGTAACTTAAATGTCATTAAAAATATCATTATGTGGGTGGTGATAGCAGCAGTAGAAGCCACAGCAGCACCAACACCATCCCACAGCAAACATTATCTTTGATCCATGTCAACGCCATGAGCGCGGATATTATAAAATAGCCAAACAAATTACAAAATTAGCCACTGGTATTTTAACAGTAAATACTTTCCATTTGTTTAATGCGCTGCCACGCGCAGCTTTCAGGCGGGAATATCCATCCGTTCTCATGGGATGGTAAATGTGGCAAGCAGTCAAGCACGCCGACCTGCAGGAGGTTGGCCGCTACTTGCAGGCTGCCTGCCAGCAAAGTGTACTTTTTCAATTCATTGAGCATCGTCTTGCGCTTCATTTAACTCGAAGGCGCATTCATTCGTTTTAATTAAAGTTTTAATTACACATACAAACACCTCTTGCAGTGACATGTACATTTGCACGGTATGCGGATTGCAGTTATATGAATGCATGTAGAAATGCATGCTTAAATACTTGTGTAATTAAAGAGTTGATCGACTCTGCTTTTTCCTCAACGCGGTTTATTTGAATATTTTTAGGCTTTTTTTGTGGAATCTTGATTTTTTCGAATACCGAGAAAACCGTTTTTTTATAATCGTATAAATCGGGATTTTACCTAGTTTATGTACATATTGGAATCTAAGCTTTCTAAAAATATAATTAATTAAACATTTATTTTATATCTGAAGACTAGAAAAATTTCCACTGCAGAAAACTATTTAAAAAATAAAAGGAAAAAGAAAATCTTTCACTGTTGCTTTTTTTATTGTATCAGCTTACTAAACTCTGTGTAAATCACAAATGAAACACATCATGTTGTCCTTCTTCTCATTTAACCGCAGGCTTAGGAAAAGTTCAGATCCGTCGGGTATGGGGCGTAGGGGGAGTGATGTTAGGTGAGCTAATGTGAATAGGCAAACATATCGAGCCCTAACCGCCAAAATAAAGTAAGCGACATTTTTTTCAAAATTTTATTTTTGATGCAGAAATGCATATAGACGCTCTAGGAATATTTCTGCATCAAAAAGAAAATTTTGAAAAAAATGTCGCTTACGTTATTTTGGCGGTTAGGGCTCGATATAAAGGGGTGGTTATTTAGTGTCGTCAGGGCGGTTTATTCTTATTCGACTGAACAGTTCAAGCTGCTAAAATATCTAGAATGTAGTTGTTTCAAGGTATCGTGGGCCTCACGAAGGAATTCAAAGGGTTAGAATTAAGGAAGTTATTGATTGAATCTCGACTAAAGCCCGTATTTTCGGTCTAGGGGAGTGGATGGTGTATTCTCAGTCCCAAGACAGTGGGTTCTACAGGATCGAGTTTTTCCCGACAAAGGACTGTTGTTTTAATGATGTAATCTTCTTAACCCATTAAGTAAAAATTAGCGACTCTTTATTTCTTGTTTTAGAGCTCAACCAGCCACCGACGGAGCGCGCTTCTATGATTGTTTTACTAACCATAAATATGGGTATTCTAAATATCTCAACCCCAGCACCACCTAGCGAACTATTTGGTAGCCTATGTTGATTCAAACCGATAGAGTATTTTGTGAGCCAAGTTATACTAAGAAACACCTATATTTATATCTTTTATATAGATGGTTCATAAATGGTCAATTTAATTTGAGTTTTTTTTATAAAATTGTAGCACATTCGCTTCTGACTAAATTTCAAGGTCGAAATTTTGATGTTACCGCAGCAGCTAGGCTAAATTTTTCCCAACTCGGCCTTTGATACATAGAGATGAAATATTGAAAACAACTTTTTAATATACACACTTTAAAAAGAACTAGAAATTTAGGTCCAAGTATTTGAAATTGGGGTTATGTTAAAACCTTCCTGTTGCTAGTAAGTATGCGCAAAATGATGCTAAATCTTATTGTGTTATTATGTGGGCGTTTTCTGGCATATTTATGTGTAACTTTTACTACTTTACAGACACATGCATTAAATGGTTTCGCGGTTACAGCTAGCGTTCAAGCCATAAGCCAACCGGCGTACGTCTATTGTTACACTATGCTGCTTGTTAATCACAGGCATTCTACGTATGCACGTACACACACACATATGTACAATCACCATCACATTTTATTCTTCCACCCATCGTTTAAAACCTTCCTTTGCACTACACTTTTACCTACTCGCACTATTGTGTCAAGAGTCTCTTGCCCTCCAGATCGGCAAGTAGCAGCATCTGCAGCCACGATAAAACCATCAAGTCAACACCGTTGTAATTGGTTTTGTCCTACCAGCGCGCGTTTTATATTCATTTACTCTCCGAAACATACAAATGTTTTATAATTACATATGTACATATGTAGATTGGTAAACTAGATGCATGCATGCACTACGTAGATTGCTGCATTCCCATCTACATACTCGTACATGCATATATGTATGTATGCAGCTATAGGTGCTCTAGGCTATTTTCTATTGCTTTTTGTTCCTTAACTTCTTAGCTCGCCCGCTCGCTCGTTTGCCTGCCTGCCTGCTACTCTGCATCCTTTTCATGTTTTTTGTGTCGCGCTTGTAGTTTGTGGCAAAGAGTGGTAATTGAATTAATTTAAGTTACAGGGTTGTTCAGGATGTCGCCGGCAATAGCGAAGCAATCATATTAGATCGTCTATCGCCCAGCACGCAGTACTCCATAGCGGTAACGGCTATTTGGCTTGGTAAAAAGTATCGCAGCAGACAGATTATATTTCGAACATTGGGTAAATATAAAATTTTATCGATTTACATTTTAATACAAATAGATTTATGTAGTTGATTATACATATATACGTATGTGAGTATAAATAAAAAATTTCATAGAAATGGAAGACGGACAGCCGGAAATAGTATTCCTGCCAAAACTAGAGTGATTTTGATATCATTTATACCCACCGGTATTAATGCCCTCGAGCTACTTATTATAAATTTTACATATATGTATGCATACAGTGGAGGCTAAACAAAAATATTTAGTAACTTCAGATGAAGATGAAGATGAAGATGAAGATGAAGATGAAGATGAAGATGAAGATGAAGAGGAAGATGAAGATGAAGATGAAGATGAAGATGAAGATGAAGATGAAGATGAAGATGAAGATGAAGATGAAGATGAAGATGAAGA